AAACTGAAACTGCGTTTTCCTATCCCATCCGTTATATGAGCTAAAAGACTCTTAGATTAAACCCACTATTCCTACTAACATTTTCAAGAATTAAAGAAGCACAGAGCTAACATAATATTAATAACAATAAGTTTTCAAAACCAATAAAATAAAAAACAATAGAAACAAAACTTTCGCCACTGCATCCACTTTGAAAAAATATAAATGCTGCTAAGGTTACAAGCAGCGAAGAATGTCAATGTCAGCAGCTGAGATAAAAGTCAAAAACTTTTGGAAGAAAAATTAAAACAGCCCAATAAAAAATACACCTGCTTTGTTCCAATAAGTTATCAAGTTCTTCAAAAGCAAGAAATACCTCACTGATGTCACTCAAAACAATTTTTCAAAACTTTTTAAAATCATACAAGCTAAAAAAAATGAAACGAAGCCTAGCTTTTAAAGCCACTTTTTTGGCAAAGGTCTGTGAAGTAAGGAGGCGATAAAAGCATTATTCGGTGAATTTGAATGGAGATTTATACAAATCTTGACCTAAACGGGTAACCCGTTTTAGACAAAAAATAAAAACACTCAAAAAAAACCGGAAAAGAACAACCCTTGTTCGAAGAGCCCAAACAAACAAAAGCCAACTTCCCGAGTACAGAGTAAACAGTGGTAGTAAAAAACGTAACAATGGTGCTTCTACAAACCAAGCCAAAGTAACATACAAGATTAGGTAGTTTTTTGAAAAAAGAGCCAATTTTTTAACGTCAAAAAAACTTACTTTTAAAATAAAAGTTATCAAATACAATTAATTTTGTCGGAACTGTTACCTCTCCTACATATTTTCTGCTCAGGGGTCCTCAACTAAAGGATAGAGAGAGACCAAAACTGGTCAGAAAAAACTGCACTTTTTACAAATATCCAGAAAAATATTGCTGCCAACCTGTCCGTTTCATAAATTTACTTTGAATCTAGTAAAAGATGAAAAGTTTTACAGATTTTGAAGAAAAAAAAGTTTGCTCCCCTTCTTTTTTCCGTCTTATAACTTTCGGTTTTGAATGTCCTTACTGTTTATTTGACCTACATCTTTCGCTACTTTCTAATAATTACCACCAGTTATGATGATATAAACCCGCGTAGTAAAAACAGATCTTCAAAAAGAATAATTCCGTGCGTTATACAACTGACGACTGATGTTAAGCAAGCAAATCGTTCTTTCAAAAAACCTTCCGTTCAAATACGAGTTCAAGGAACTAGTGCAGTTCGTAAAGTTTGCTCAAAAAACCTTTTTTTCGTCTACATTTCTAAAAGTTTCTCAAAAATGCAATTTTTGACACATATACATAACAAAAAAAAAACCAATTACGGATGAACAACCTCATAACCGCTTTAACAAAATAATAATCCATAAAAAGTACTACGTATAAATTATCCGCCTATTTAGGATAGATCCCTTGGTTCTCGCCAACATGCTTAAAATCTTTTCTACCGTTCTCACGAACAATCGCCTTAAAAATTCCGCCCCACCCACTTTTTTCAAATCGATTTTCCTTTCCAAGCAATACTCAGAAATCTTCAAGAGAAAATAAATCTTTTTGTCACAAAAATCAGGAAGCCCACTAAAACACTAAAGGAACTACATTGGGCTAACCCCTAAAAATTTAATGAGTATCACTAATCAGACATTTTCATTAGGCCTTTCTCCCTAAGCCATAACCATTACCAAAACTTTATCCTGAGTATAAATAAATAAGTATAAATAAAAAAAGAATGAAGAAAAATATATGAGTAAAATAATAAATAGTTTTTTTCAGGCATACAAAAACAAATGACATATGGTTAAATATTTTCATATATCTAAGCTTCTTTTTCCACGCTATTCCTTTCCCAGCAAAAGAAATCAAAAACTATTATAGTTTTATACCCGTTAGTTTAACCTAATGATACACCATCTAACTTTTAAATAAATTTAAGTTTATTAAAATATGAGGGAAAAGTAAACTAACCGAGTCAGACTCTTCACCACTATTCGAAAGAGTTGACTCAGCAAAATTCCGCTTCATCTTTTCCGATAAACGAACCGCATACAAGAAATGCAGAATCTGGGCATCAAAAAGCTGTTGCCAAGACCTAAAAAGCTTTGATAATAAACCAGTTAAAGAACAATCAATCCAGAAAAATGATGGTATTTGAGAAAGTTAAATAATGCAGAAAAAGAATCGAAAACTTTGCTGGGCAACGTTCAAATGTCAAATATGCAGTAAACGAACCAATAAAACTTAAACCCGTTAAATCTAGTTAAAAGAAACAGCAGAAAAGCCCAAAAGCAAAAAGGGCATTATTGTTATTATTCAAAAAATAAAACGAATCAAATCAACGCAGTAAAAAAAGAAAATCGGATTTGGAGATCTTCTAGCATATCGCTTACTTGTCCGACAACTTTTTAAAATCTTCTCAAGACAGTTCATCAAGCAAAAACACATATTGTCATAAAATTTTTGGTTTATTTCTGACTTAAAATTTTTTCTAACTTGATTGAAAAGAAAAAAAATCCAGTAAAAATTGATCCTCAAAGCAAAAAATACAGAACTTTAGATTTGCTTTCAATCACAGAAAAATTTAGTTAATTTTTACAGGTATGCCATTCAGAGTGGTGACTGAATGACCAACTAAAAACAAAGTTTTAACGCTGACAATAATTTGAAAAAAATACTTTTTTGGCAATGCAAATAAGCAACTACAAAAGAATGGCTACCAAAGCGCAGCAAATAGCTAGTTTCAAACAGAAGCCTGCAGTTTCTTGCAAACGATATACTGTACAAACTGAGTGAAAATCATGTGCAAATCGAAGTAAACTCG